GAGGGAGCCCTGGACATTCACGAGAAAGCGTGGAATGCGTACCCTTTCTGCGGGACTGGTGAGTTCTGCCAAGGTGGTGGCGGCTGCTGCCGCGGCTGCCGCCACCTTCCCCTTGTCAGGCTTTGGGGGCTTTCCTACGGGGTTCCAGGACACCTTTCCTCCCGTGTGGAGGCGCCATAGGCAGGTTTGCTCTCGGCAGCTGCCCGATGCTCCTGAGCTGCTCCAGATGAGGTTTACAAGTCTCAGGGTCAGCCGCTCTTAGCCCTATTTTGGGAGGGAGGAAAGCCTTGGCCACAGGGAGCTCCAAGCTCAAGGACGGTGGCGTTGTTTCAGGGAACAGCCTAGCCATTCCTGTCTACCCATGTCTGTCTGTCTGTCTGTCTGTCTATCCTCTATATTGAAAAGTTTTAAAACTAAGACAAACTAATACAGAATAAAGAGAACAAAGAAAGAGAGAAAGAAAAAGGAAAAAACAAAAGTACAGAAAGAATAAAAAGAAATAGAAGATGCTTCCGATTTTCTTTGCAGCAAATACAAGTATGATTACAAAATTATCCCTTGCTCTGTGATTACAAAAAAAGCTCACTTTTTTCTATTATCCAGGTTTTTTTCTAATATCAAGTCATAAGTGCATTTTTTTCCATTTCATGCAAAAAGTCTATAAGGGGTTTCCAGTCATCCATAAATGTAGATATTGTTTTTTCTCTGATCAAAGGCGTTAATTTAGCTATCTCTGCAAGTTCCATCATCTTCACCAACTACTCCTCCATTGTGGGTAATGTCGAACCTTTCCGTTTTTGAGCATATAATAGTCTCACTGCAGTTGTCATATATAAGAACAACGTTCCATGACTTTTTTCTAGCTGCCTGTCCATCAGTCCCAAAAGAAAAGTCTCTGATTTCCATTGCACTTTAAAATCTTCTGGGACACCTTAGCCATTTCCACTGCCTCCCACCCTGGCAGGTAGTTGAGCAGCGCCCTCCGAGTGTGGGTCTCCGGAAAGCCAGGCAGCCACCTGTCCCCTCTGGGAAGAACGTCTTCCTGGGCAGCTGGGCAGAGGGTACAGCCATGAAGCGCCCTCTGGGCCTGTGCCTGGCTCGCTGCAGGAGCCCTCCAGCTTGGGCCTTCTGAGGTTGCAGGCCTGACGGCCCGGGTCCTTCCGAGAAACTCAGCCTCACCTCCTCCCCGCGCAGTTAACCTACAGCTGTGGCTAAGCTCTGCAGGCGGCACCGGCCTTTCTCCTTCCAGATTCCACGCTGCCGGTTTGCTTTGGCTGTGCGGGGCCCTTGGCTTGGTCCCCTGCAGTCCGGGCGGTGGGAGCCAGATCCTTTGGGAAGGAGCACAGGCCAGCCAGGTCTGGGGCGGGCTGGTGTGTCTGGGATCGCTCTGTACTGGGTTAGGTAGCGAAATCCAGGCCACGTTCCATTCGGAGCTGCAGCATGGGATCGAGGGTGACTCTGTCCAGGGCTGAGTGGGCTGTGGCTCTGCTACGGAAACTGCTGCCCTGCTGCTCAATGGGCTTCTGGCCTCTCTCCCCTGCTTTAAGCTGGGTGGGGTATCGGCAGGGGGGCACCCTTGAGACGTCCAGGTCGCCCGCACCTCCTCAGAGGTGGGCCCCTTCCTTCCAAAAGGCGGCTGGAGAGCCCTGTCCGACCGACCCATCACTGGACAGGCTGCCTTGCTGTTGCTACCAGGGTCCTCTTCAAGAAGGGGGATGGAGGGTTACAGGATCCGCCACAACTCGCCTCATTAATCATTGAGCCCAGCTGCCCAAGCATCCAGTTACAGCAGAGCACAGCCCTGGGTTGTGTTACACGTGTGTGGGAGCCAGGGAGAGACAGGGCTGCAGCGGGAGGGTCAGGCTAGTGTCTTTTTCCCTGGCGGGGGGTGCTGACTTGCTGGGGAGAAGAGTTCTGTTAGCTGACTTGTGTTGCCATTTTCCCAGGGGTGGGATGAAAGCTAACCCAACGTGCGGTCGTGGGGCCCGGCTCCTGGGTAGCCTGCTGTGCATGTGAAGCCAGGCAGAAGTCAGCAAGGGCCAGAGAATGGCAGAAGGGTGGAGGTGCTCCCCAGTGGGGGCCATTGGGTAGCACGCTGCCATCTGGGTGGGCAGGACCGCGATTGTCCCTGCCCTGTGTTGGGCCAGTTGAGGGTAGCCTTAAAATCAGGCGTCCTTGCAAAAGGCACTCCTGGCAGCCCCCATTGGGTGCTCAAGCTGAGTGGGAAGCTGCAGAGCTCCCTCTGAGTAAGTGGGACTGCAGGAGGATGAGGCAGAGGCTCTGGGTGAAGGTGTCTCCCCAGGCCCTGGGATCAGTCCCTGATAGCTGTTGCTGGGGGGCAGGCGGGGAGCAGCACTGCATCCCTGATTAAAGCTCTGTTTTTCTTTCCATGTCCCGGGTTTTGGAGCAGTTATAACAGTAAGTACAGCTTTCAGCCCCTGTCGGGTAAGTGGCTGGACTGCCAGGAACATACTGGCCTTGGTCACGTTGCCAAGGTGCTGGGCAATTTCTGTGGGCTCCCGCCCTTGTGAACTGGGTAAGACAGGGGGTCCCTCCTTGGGGCTGGAGGACCCAGACCTGTGGTTCGGAGAGTTTTCACTAAATGCCTGCCATGGAGGCTTGCTTATTCCCCAAAAGGTTACCTGAGGACAAATGGTTGAGTTTGTCCCCCCAGTTTCCCTTGTTCATATTGTGGGTCAACGGGCACACTCCCGTTTTGATTCCCTGAGGAGGCTTGTGAGCCTCCTGGCCTTCTTGGGAAGGAGGGTGATGCGTGCCAGCTTCCTGTTTATTATGACTTTTTATTGGACTGCCCCCATCCCTTGCTCTCTTCCAGGCTCTTGGGCTCCCTGGACCCTGCCAGCCCTCTGCCAGCTGCTTCATCCCATCCCTGAATCCCCTGGCTGGGCTTGTCCGTTCTTAGGGCTGGAAGAGGCCCCTTGGGTGGCCTGGCTGGCAGCCCTG